AAGATGACAGCGGTTGGATTGTTCCAGGATTGCCAGGGAGCGCTTCAGACTACGTTCGAGGCACTGATACGATGGATGTTTGGTTTGACAGTGGAACAAGCTGGACCTTGATGCTCAAGGAAGATCTTGCATCTGGCGGCTCTCGGTCACAACCAACGCCAGTGGCGGATGTCTATGTCGAAGGCACTGATCAGCATAGAGGGTGGTTTCAGTCAAGCTTACTCACGAATATTGCGTACCAGAAATCTCTCCAATCAACCTCTGATTCCGGGTCTCTTTCGTCACATCCAGTACACGCTCCATTCCGCATTTTAGCAACCCATGGCTTCACTTTAGACGCCGAAGGCAAGAAGATGAGCAAATCGCTAGGCAACGTGATTGCCCCCAACCAAATCATGTCGGGGTTCGGGGCTGCTGTGAAACAAACAAAGCAGAAGCGCGAAGTTCATCCGCTTGGGCCAGACGCCTTGAGGTTGTGGGTTGCGTCCAGTGAGTGGACAAAGGACGTGGTGATCAGCGAGAAGGTTGTGTCGTCGGTCCACAATATGCTCGACAAGTACCGCCTGACCTTGAAGATGCTGCTAGGCATGCTGGCGGATTTCGACCCTCAGATGGCTGTCCCGTACGAGCGCATGTCTCGGTTGGATCAAGTAGCAATGCACCACCTTCATCTGACCTTCACGTCTGTGCGCAAAGCCTACGCAGACATGGAATTCCACAAAGCCTCGGGCTCTATATACCGATGGGTGGCGACTGATCTCTCGAGCTTCTACTTTGAGGCCATCAAGGATGTACTGTACTGCGATATGCCTATGACCTCGAGGCGCTTGAGTGCGCAGACTGCACTCCATCACATTCTATGTCAACTCCAGCACATGCTTGGGCCAATTACACCGTTGCTGGTCGAAGAAAGCTGGGATCATAGCCCAGAAAGATACAAGAAGACGGTCGAGCACCCGTTGAGACGAATATGGTCTCATCTGCCAGAGGAGTGGCACGACCAGTCACTCGAGACTTTGTTGCCATATATCTCGTCTATCAACTCGAGCGTCAAGGCGGCACAAGAGACAGCACGAACGCAGAAACTCATGGGTCAGTCGCTCGCGTCGGATGTTTCGATATATTTGCAGAAGAGGATTGACCTTTCAAGCATCCCGAAAGATACTTGGAAGGAACTCCTGGTTGTGTCATCTGTCGAGATTATCCCAACAGAAGCGGGCGAAACAACTCAACCAGATGCGAACACAGAACCTCGCCCGGACTGGTCATTCTCAAGTGATGTCATCTCGCCTGAAGGCGAGCAAATAGGGACGGTGATTGTCAAGAGTCCTCATGGTTTAAAATGCGACCGCTGCTGGAGATATGTGGTTGAACCGCAGGAACAGACGACGAAGCCAGAAGCAAACGAGGCTCTCATACTTTGTGACCGGTGTACCCATGCCGTTACACAATCTCAGACAGGAAGGCTATAGATGTGCAAGTTATCGGGGCAGATATCCACTCACCAACCACTGTACCAATAATCCAATCAATCTTGAATTGCTCCGCCAGATGCTCCCCCTTCACATCGCCGTGCTAAGACAAGTACGTACAGAGAAGTGCGCAGAAGACGGTAAATGCAAGCACCACCTCAGATGGACACTTTTTTTAATTGGCGTGGGGGAGACTTGACAAGTCGAAGCACGAGATCGCCATCATGCAGGTTGTTCGTGTTCTGGTCCGATCCCAGCGCCCATTCTGGGGGAATTTATTTGCTGGGTGCTGGCTGGGAGTGACAAGGGGGTGTCATGGGATCTTGCGAGACTTGTAAGCCGGCTAGAGCTTGACGTGCAGCGCCATCAACGCCGCACCTGCTGGGGCCGCTCATTGGTGGACGTTCAATGCCTCCTTGTTTGCGGGGTAGAGACATGGTTGCGGGCTGTCTGAATGACTAAGAGGAACTCGGGTTGGGACATCGAGGACATGTCGAACACGGCACCAACGGCTCCGGCACCAACCAGGTCGTCTGGAGATTTGATATTAATTTGGAGACAAAAGAAGAGTAGGTACAAAATGATGATGTCGAGTCACATTGTCGACATGGCAGTGGCAGCAGTTTTACAGTAGACGTACCAAACTTGGTCACGGAGCTCCTCAAACATGGACCATCATCCCATCGACGTCATCAACTACCAGCGGATCCATCAGAGGCACCCACAACGTCTCCTCGACGCTTCCTCGTCCAACAAGGAAGTGCCGCAAGTTTCCGGCAGCTTTCAATGCACGCCGTATTATCTTTCTCACACAACCTCCAGCTAAGCCTCTGGGTTCAAGGGGCTCGATGGAGCAATGGCATGATGTTGCCAGCCTCTCGTGCTGCAACTTTTGCTCACCGTTGGATGCCAGAAGCCTGTGCGGCATGTCATTGGCGGCGGGTGGAGCCGCAGCTAGAGAGCTCTAGGGTTCCAAGTATGGCTAGTCCGGCCAAGTGCCAGGGTGCCTTGGGTGTCCTACCGAGTACTACTGCTGCTAGAGGTACGCCTGGTGAGTCTACCCCGCAACACCTGCACAACTCAGTTGCACACAATGTCCTCACTGACCACCTCATTCCCTCACTCACTCACTCCACAGTTCAATCAGGGCATCAAACTTCTGGACCCCATGTGGTCACACGGCAGCTTGTCCTCCTCACAGAGTCCAGCTGTGGTGGTATGACACTAAAAACAAAGATGTCGCCCCGCTTCCAATGAGTGCTGCTGGGCAGTGGGCGGCAAGGTACCTTTTCGTCATTGATGCTTCCTTTCTCACCATTCCATCACTTTGCTTTGCATCCACCAATCCCTACCCCCTGCTCCCCCAGCTGCGCCTGGACACAGCATCCTTTTGACGTCTTTGACTGCTGCCTTGAAAAATCAAATCTTGTCTTTCCATCTCTCATCTCACCAACGTTTCTCAAAAGCAATTGTAGTCTTCGGGTCTCTCTTCGACTTTCTTCACATTCACTGCCAGCCTCACAGTTTGGCACTCCAGCATACCCTTCAGTAACGCTACATCTGCCGCCAGCAATATGATTGTCCATCCAGACATGCTGAAGACCACCGCCGCTACGGCTTCCACTTCGGTGGCTCCCATCCCGACCGTCATCCCGACTCCTCCCACCTACGTCGAGGCCGGTGATGTGGGCAAGAGAACTCTGTGGTATGGTCCAATCTCACTCTTAGGGGGATTTGCATTGTTCACACTCTTCCAGGGTTGTCGTTGTGCTCATGGCCATTTCGTCCATTGCCCTCTATGCCATGGCTTTCCGTGTCACAGTGGTGAGTCTCCCTGTCCGTCACTTCAACTTCAGATCTAGTCTAACAAGCATGGACGCAGCAAAAACGGCTCTTCCACATCTTGACCTCTTTCATCACCACTGTTGCCTTCCTGTCCTACTTTGCTATGGCTACGGGTGACGGCACCACATTTATCTCATACACTATTACCGAACAGCACAAGAAAATCCCAGACACCCATCGAGAGTACCAACGTGAAGTCTACTGGGCAAGATATGTGGACTGGACCATCACAACCCCTCTCCTGCTTCTGGACCTCGCCCTCCTTGCCGGTCTCAGTGGTGCCAATATCCTGGTCGCCGTCTTTGCCGATGTCGTCATGATTCTGTGCGGACTATTCGCGGCCTTTGGCCAGGCCCACGACAGCAAGAAATGGGGCTGGTTTGTCTGGGCTTGCATTGCCTTCCTCGTCATTGTCTATCAACTTGCTGTTAACGGTCGTGAGGCCGTTGCCAACAAGGACAGCAAGACCAAGGCTTTCTATGCTTCAATTGCGGGGTACACCTTGATTATTTGGGTCCTCTACCCAATGTGAGTCTACCACCGCTATGTCATAACCACATACTTACAAATGACAGTGTCTGGGGTCTTGCTGAGGGTGGCCACGTCATTAATGTCAACTCTGAGATCATCGCTTATGCGGTCCTCGATATTCTTGCCAAGCCAGTGAGTTCTCTCGACTTCTTTCCCGAGGCACTCGCTAATGTACAACAGGTCTTCGGTTTTTGGCTTCTCTTCACCCACGACAGCATGTCAAGCACGTATGTTTAATTCACAAGTTGAGTTCGGAACATTGCTAATCGATGTAGATCTCCTTCACTTGAAGGTTTCTGGTCTCAAGGCTTTGGTAGCCAAGGAACTCTCCGAGTTGGTGATGACAGTGAAGCCTAAAAGCACGTGCTGACTTGGTCAGGTCGGCGAAGAGGACTAAACGTAACACCGACCAGGTCCTTTCTGGATTCACCTCAATGCCTGAAATTGGAACGCGAATTTGAACAAATCGATATGAATGGAGACGAATGGAGATGAATGGAATTTCATTGAGGAAGGACGGAGAATAGCGGAGGAGAACGGGAGCCGTAATGAATATTGCTGCATTTAATTACTGGTTCACACTGACGAACGAGACGCAAACGACTTTCTTTCTCTGGGCTGGCTTATATCACTAGGCGCAGCATTTCCGAGCTCACAGTGAATGCTCGATGGACGCATTTGTACAGTAACACCTCTCTTTCTGGCATGACTAAAAGCTGGGGTCAAAGGCCACATGATACAAATGACAATTTAATGCAAAACACATGGAAACCTGATTGTTGAACATTGGTCGGGTTTAGCTGAGAAGTCATCTGCTGATCTTTCCTCTGCGACTCGGCGACATCAACCATCACAACCTAACTGCGCCCTCAACATCTTGAACCGGACCATCGGACGCAATTGGAGCGCCAAAATCAGGACTGGCGTCCCTCCATCTATCTTTAACAACTCTTCAACTTACTCTTACCGCTGCCTAGAAAGGTGTTGCCGTCAGGCCTTGCCCTTCTGGGTGTTATGAATATTCTCATCTAACTAACCTCTTCTCCTCTCTGCATCCGATTCTTTTCTGCTTGGAGATATTTCCACGTATCCAGCAATCGACTTGCTCAAGAATTACCCTTCGACTCTAACCTTGGGACAAGCACAGTGAAAATGGTGTTCGGACTGTTGGCGGTGCTCGCTTGGTCGACGTCCACCATCACCCAAGCTCAAGCACCGGGGATGCCCATCCTCAGGTACGCAAAACAAGCGTGTGTGCCTATGTATGTCGATGTTGGAGCTCACTGACTTTGACAGCACGCACACAAGCGCCTTGACAAAAGCTGCGCACTGCACCACCACTGCTTACACCGCACCAGTCATCCAAGGTGGCCCCACAAGCACTTACTATTCCCTTACCACCTACACATCCCGCGTCTATGATTGCCATGGCTGCGACACCGTCGTGGTCATTCCATATGGTCACGTCTTCGTGGTATGCCCCCCAACACTGGAGCATCTCGCTTTGACATGTCATCCGAGTCATCCCCTACCGAGTTTCTAGTTAACGTCTCGGTCCAGGAGATGACATTTACCACCACTGTGACTGCGGACCTCGCGACCACTGTCACGGTCCCAAGATGCAGTCCGACACCAGGCCCAGCGACCATGACTGGTCTCAGTTGAGGCTATCGGCCACGGACGACGTGCTGGAAATCTACAAGCGAGGAGAAGCAACAACACTGCCACATCATATGGCTGGCCTCGGCAAACCGAGATCCTTTCCATAACAGAACATGACTTGGGATTCGGAGTCCTTCGTAAAGATCGGCAAAAAGAAGAATTGGTGAGCTTGGGCTTACATCCTTCACCGACTGGAGCAGAGCCGGCGCAGCACAGATACAAAGCACCCAGCATCTCTGGTTTCGAGAGGAACAACACGTTGAGCTGGTGAAATGAGGTGACCGCCGACGCGCGTTTGTCATCTTGGGCTGACGTTGTTCATCTATTTGCTGCAGAATAGCAGTCTGACCAACAACAAGGAGAAGAGTTACGACTTTTGTCTATCACAACAACATCCGCATTGAGCCTTGGGCTTGACTGGTCTGCTCCTCGCATTTTTGCCACGTGCTTCTAACTCCGAGTCGATTCCAGAACCTAGGCAGAACTCACTGCTCTCTTTTCGAAACGTGATAGCCCGAGACATGAGCTTGCTGCCAGTGCAGCGGCTTGAAGACCTCAAAGGTGATTCGAGAGTTGGGCACGTAGATGGCCTGTGGCCTGCTCATGTCGAAATTAACATTGCAGCAGCGCAAAATGTCGTCGTGTTCGGTGCATCAATAGTCGAGGGGCGATCAGCCTTAACGGGCAACACTCTCCCGAGACTGGAGCAAGTGCCAGCCTCTTGCACCGCAACACATCAAAAATAGTCCATGTTACCGTCCCATCAGGCTAAATACTGCAGATCAGTTCGGCTTTATCTTGCCGTCGGCCACTGGAGAATGACTTCCAAGCCTCTTCTCTCGCGCTCAAAAGCAGAAGAGCCAGGTATCCTTCGCTATATCTCGGCAGCTATTAGGCCGAATGGTCTCCACTACCGTCCACTAACCTCATTCCACCATACCTCTCTCCCAACATCCCACAAACCTCCCCAGGTTTGCGGAGTCTCCAGTTCCAGCATCGCCTTCTACGGTTCAATGTTTCTCTCGTGATGTCGAGCAGGGCTAGATTGTGGAAGGGTGCTTGAAAGTTCTCGCCACATACCTTTTCTCGTTTCGGCGTATATTAAACCAGTGACCCAGCCCCCGACTGCATGCTTTTATCTCTTACCAATTTCCCTTCTCGGTGCCCGAGCCCCCCCCCCTGCAACAATATCGTCAATCCTTCGAGGACGGCAAAATGGGGTTCTACAAGCGCAAAATCACTGTCTCCGACGGCGAGATCACAAATGCTGCTCATCTTACATTGAGGCAGTCATTCTTGCCAAACTGTTTGGGTATGTGGATTTGCCGAACGGTTGATAATGATGAGCGACGATGACAACACAAACTTGTCACCATTACGCCCACTACACCATTTCCTTTTTTCCGATGTCAGGTTCGAGACCAAGACAGTCTGCGGCAGGTACTAACAGTGAATCAGTCACCATCCTCTTCTTTCTCTGGGGCTTTGCGTATGGACTTCTCGATGTGTTGAACAGCCACTTCCAGACCACGCTCAATATCACCGCATCTCGATCTTCCGGTCTCCAAGCCGCTTACTTTGGAGCATATTTCCTCTGCCCTCTTACAATCTCGGGATGGATTCTGCGGAGGTTTGGTTTTCGGTAAGAGCGGAATACCCAGGACTACCGAGGTCAACCCGTTGATTCCTTACTTTTTATCAGAATCACATTCATGACTGGCTTGGCCGTGCTGGCAGTTGGATGTCTCCTCTTCTGGCCGAGCGGCGTTAAAAAATCATTTGGTGGCTTTTGCGGCTCCATGTTCGTGGTCGGTGCCGGGTTGAGCACGCTCGAGACCGCTGCCGATCCATTCCTCTCCATCTGTGGGCCACCAAGATACAGCGAGATCCGACTGAACTTAGCTCAGGCGGTGCAAGGTGTCGGTAGTTTCGTCGCCCCTTTGCTGGCGAGCAGGGTGTTTTTTGCGCACACTGGTAAGACCACCTCCCTTGCGATACTCTTTCGAGGCAAGTAACTCACTCAATGGCCTGCAGTCGACACCGACCAAGGCTTGAGGAATGTCCAGTGGACATATCTGGGCGTCGCTGGATTCGTCGGCGTCTTAATCGTTCTCTTCTTCCTGGCTCCTATGCCTGAGATTACGGTATGTACTTCGAAGGGACTGCCTCGCACGCCTTGTCTGACTCGTTGTGCCCAGGACGCAGACATGCATCATCAAGAACACGTCATTGCGGAATATAACCCTGGACCGCTGCACAAGCAGTACACTCTGTTCCTGGGTGTGTGGTGTCAATTCTGTTACGTCGGCGCCCAGGTTGCCGTTGCTGGATATTTCATGTAAGCGGAGCCTTGTTTTCCTTTTCCCTTGAATCTACATGTCGTAGAAAGGAAAGTCAAAGTCAGCTAACGCATTTACTCTCAGCAACTTCGTCAAAGAAACCGGCCGTTCGGCCGCTACAGCCTCGGACCTCCTTGCCGCTGCCCAAGGCATCTACGCGGCCAACCGCTTCATCGCAGGCTTCCTCATGATGATCCCCGCCGTGAAGCCGCGGTACATGCTCATGCTGTACCTGGGAATGTGCTGCATCATCTCTTTGATCGCGGGCCTCACGCGGGGCACGACCTCCGTGGCGTTTTTGATGCTCGTCTTCGTGTTCGAGAGCTGCTGCTTCGCGACCATCTTCACCATGTCGCTGCGCGGGCTGGGCAAGTACACCAAGCGCGGCGGGTCATGGCTCGTGGCCGCCATCTCGGGCGGCACCGTGTGGCCGTCCATGACGGGCGCCGTCGTCACCCGCTACAACGCCCATGTCGCCATGTTCATCCCCATGACCGGATACATCGTGGGCATGGTCTTCCCGATCTACGTCAACCTGCGCCAGCGTGAGAGGATGGACATGCACCGCGCCACGGAGGTCGGTATCGTTGTTCCTACTGAGAAGGAGCTCGAGCTTGAGAGGCAGCAGAGCGTCATCGAGGACGGCGGGAAGCCCCAGGCCGTTGAGATCCGCGAGGAGGCAGATCTCAAGTGATGATGCCCCCCTCGAGGACGGCGATTGGGCTGGGATGCGTAAGCGAACGAAAACGCAAATGGGCAAGCATGGATAATGGCATCTGGCCCCAGTAAATGTATATCCGGTAATGCAAAGACTGAAGTCATGACGAATGAGTATCTAAATGTCAGCGGGGTGCGGATAGACTGCTTCCGCCGCCTAGACCATTATGGACTTCTACATACCTGCCTGTGGATATAAAAGAGGGTGATGCCTCCAGCGTCTTCCCCCGTAGCCTTCCTGCCGTGTCTCGTTTGTTCCACGATCAAACCGTGCGTCCTCTCGCCCTTCCCCTTCTTGTGCCGAGCAGATACGACTGTGAGAGGAGAGTCCCAGCTGGCCTGGCTCTTTGAGCTATTCGAGCACAATCCCAACGACATTCCTTGGAATTCCGCGTCATTCCCCCAACGGCCTCGCCATGCATGACGCCGTGAAGGCATGTTTCGCGTACTAGGGCGTACTTGTGCGTGGGCGTGCGTGTCTTGGACTGTTCCCGCGATAGCGAGAAGAAGAGCTGGTCTAGCTGTCGTTGCACTCCTGGGGGCAGGTGGAGCGGGACGAAGTCCGATTTTGTGCCGCTCTTCGTGGTCGGCTCTGGTACTGGTGTCGTAGCTTGTGCCTGAGATTGTTGAGAGGCGGTGCTGGCGGCGTCGCTGGGGCTGTTGGTAGACCTTTGTCGTCGCTCTGCATTTTCTTCCTCTTCGGGTTTTGATGTTTCGTGCTTCCTTGGCTGTTGGAGCTGTGATCTCGATCACCGTCAAGGCTTAGACTGGCGTCAAGGATGGCGCGGAAGGGGCGCCGCAAGTCGGACCGCCGTCGTCGTTATTGTCTGCCTCTTCGTCAGTCCGGTCTTCGCATGCCTCCATTTCTGCGGCTTCCGCCGGCTCGGCATCATTGATCGCGTTGCCATCGCCTTCTCCGCTAACGGCAGTACTAGACTCTACTCTCTTATTCTCAGTTGTATTTTCTGGTCCGCCTTTGTCTTCTGACCTTTCCTTCCCTCTCGTCTCCTCGTCCACTATGGCCTGCCCCTCAGCCCTTGGCAAAATCATAGGTGTCTTCGCCCGGCCCAATATCCACACTTCGTCCTCCCGCTTAAGACTCTGTGCTCCGATACCCAAATGTACGGCCTTAGAGTTCGATGTATACCTCAACTCTCTTTCGAAATCGCTATAGGCATGGTGGTGTTCAGCGAGGGATGCTAGTCGAGACTGACCAGTCAGAGACTGATATCTTTGGGTCTCCAAGTCCCATGAGCGGAGGACTCTCACTTCATGCTCATTACGTTGCAAAGGAGATCTGAAGATTTCTTGGGTGCGAATGGCGATGTTGGAGGTTCATGCAAAAGAGAGAGCGGAAAGGGACCTGTCAAGGTCTCGAACCGATTCCAATTTGTGAAGCTGTTGCTGCCAATCTGCACGGGAATGGCGCTGGCGTAACGACCCCGACAAGAGCAAGATAGAGACTTTATACATAGTGTACGTCTGATCTGAGGCGTACATCCGAGCAAATGCACGGATGAAGGATGCAAAGACGGAAGACCAGCGGAATCCGGAGCTGGATGAATGTTTCTGTACGTGCCCGATAATATCGTTCAACAGAAGACCTCGAAGCCGCTGGCTGTAATTGTTTGAGTGCTGCGCAGAGGATAGCTTTAACCAGTATAGAATAATCTACATTAGAGTCTTGCATTCCATCTAGGGAAATACCATTCAACCGGGTACCTCTCATTGAGCCCTGCCGCAAGAGTCCATACGCTTATCCAAAACCTGTTGTTCTTGGGAGACTCACGGAAGTCGTAGTGGCTTAGTTGTTCGTCAACAATATCGCTGGTTGTGTCCAGGTAGATTCCATTCGCACGAAGCCGACCTCCTCTGACGCCGTCTGGATTCAGCGTAGCATTGAGTTTAACATCTGCATCTTCCCAACTTCGATCTCCACTAGCTTTC